AAAGCAAAACTTCAGGGTGAAGGCCCATCGCAGACAGACGTACCGCACCTTTAAGAGAAGGCGGGTCTAAACCACATCAGCCTTGCTCTCATTGGCTACCTGGGCTCCCCCAAACCCCACATATCTGATAATACCACATTATCCTCTATTGACCTCACAGGTACACAGACTGAAAACAGAGCCGCCCCATTTGACAGCAAAGGCAGAACAATGCTCTATGCTCATAGACAAAGGCTACCTGTCAATAAACATGATTTTCTAACCATTCATTACCAATGTCTGCATCTGCTTTCCTTTGTAGTCCATACTTAAGGCGCCCAGTATGGGATATTAAAAGGAGAAATACCCCTCGGCTGTTTCTTATACATAAGACTACTATTACTAATAATAATAATAATAATGCATTTAATTTATAGGTGCCTTTCAGGACACTGAAGGTCACCTCATAAATAATAAAAACAACAACAAACAGAATGACACCAATAAAATCAGACATGGCAAATCAATACTCATTTCAAACACAAATCATAAGCTTTCAGGCAGATGGACTCAAAGTGAATACGCCAGCCTAAAAAAAAGAGGTTTTTTTTAAATTGTATTAAATTGAGAACATGGTGAATGTGACCCCAGCGACCCTATCATGTTTGAATAAACGCTTAAATTAATAGCATCCCTGCCGTTAGGACGAGCCACGCCATAGCGATTAGCACTAGCGCCTGCTGGGAAGCTGGGACTCTGAGGAATGCCGTCGTCGTGGCGAGGCAGACTGCTGTGTCCCATCCCCATGCCACATCCCCCCAACCCCCCGTGACCCCGACACACACATGCAGAAGAGTGACGTTTCCACACAAACATCCACACACCTGTCGTCCGGGGCGTGTGAGGAATGACGCAGTGATTAAAAAAAAAAAAAGCTTTAGCTGGTAAACTAACTAAACATGGGACTGAAAGTGAATGAACAATCTGCACTATTGTTTAATGGTTTTGTTTGCACTACTATGTCACTGCTATCATGGGACTTATCTGTTTTTCACCCACATGCACTAACCAGTTGTCTAGTCATGTGACAAATAAAGTGATTAGATTTCATACTTACTAAAGTAAATGGAAAAACAGAGACTGGGGAAAATGGAAATAGCAGCACTGGAATCCCAGTTCATTGTTTTGATGCAGAGAATGTTTTTTTCCTGTTATATACAACGCTGTGGTCAGATATTGCGTAGTAAAGGCAGAGTAGTATCGAGGTTTTCATCCATCTTCACAGGACTTGTACTTGTGGAGGATGGCTCAGTGGGCAGCCCTATAGCCCCCAAAGCACCACAGCTGGGGGGTTTGCATGTTCTCCCTGCGTTTGCGTGCGTTTCCTCCCACAGCCCTATGCACTCTGAGATGGGATCCAGGCGCATGGCGGCCCCGTATGGGATAGACCGTTACGGAAGATGGATGTGTTCATTCTCTGCATCACAGGAAGCCGTGTCATAGAAACAATCCACCCAGTGCTGCACTGCATTCCACATCCAGTGGCAGTGAGCCTAGAGTCACAGAGCCACATTCAGTGGCAGTGAGCCCATGCAAGGGGCACCCTGGATGGGGTGACAGTCCACTGTGAGGGACAAACCCATTCAGAGGTCCTTAGAGAAACAAATACACCAAACTTTACAAGCATGGAGACGGGGCAGGATTCAAAACCCAAAGCCTGGAAGTACACAGCCACACAGCTACCCACTGAATCACTTTTTTACTCGCACACTTGCAATGTATTCAGCAAAAAAAACAGGACATGGCCTTGTAAGCAAAAAACGTGGAGGAGGGAGTAGAACATATCACCGTATGTACTGGACAACACCTGGCGTACCTGGACGCCCTACTGACAGCATGGCGCTAGACCCAAAGAAGATTATGTCAAATGCTGGTATTCTTAAAAAACAAACAAATAAATAAATAAATAAATGAATGAATGAGAAACAAGCCATGTTTTTGCATTTCACTGGGGTCAGAGTAAGTGTGCAGAACAATAACAAGATTGGACATTTTATCCCGAGGACTTGACCACGTAATTTGAAGTACAGACCAACTGTCACTGGTGTGGGGTGCAGGAGCAGGAGCGTGCCTGGAATCCCGGAAGGCTGTGTGCTTTTACTTACGAACCAGTAACTCAAGAGCCTGTCGAGTGCTTGGATTATTTCCTGATGCAACATTCTAAACTGATTCACATTAGCACAACATCAAGCGGTCATTCCAGCTAAGCAACATCCAAGCTTCAGTTAATATTTACTTCTATTGCTAGATATGTGGGAACACTTGATGGTGTTGATGGCGATGAGTGGCTCCCAATTTGTTCTCTTTTAGCTATTTTGATCAAAGCAGTAATCCAATCCTTGTACCGGGGATTAAGGGTCCAAGGCAATTGACCCCAGGGCCACTGTTTCTTTCCTTGAGCTGGAATTTAAGGTTCTCAATTCTAGTTAATTAAAATGTAACTTGCAGACTACCTCTGAAGTGATTTTTCCAGATGGAGAGGACATAATTCATATTTCTCACTAATAAAAGGGAAAGTGGCCTTTGTTGTGCAACTAGCAATCAATAGGTAATATATCTCTTTTGCTTTCCCTGCAGTGGCCTACATTCTCCAAGCCAACAATGCTCTCTAGCACAGTAACAGCTGTCCATGTGGGGAGGGAGGTGGTGAGGGGGGCTGGGGTCCACCCTGACATCCCCTAAATACAGGGCTACATTATGCTATTTCTGTGCACAATGTGTGTGCGTGAGAAGTGAGCGGAAGGGACCGTGTGACCAAGGTTTGTGGCAGCTGGCTTCCGACTAGACGCGCTGAACCTAGAAGGCACGTATTCCAGAAGGCCATCCAATTGGCCGAACAGGTTCCGGAACTTGGGATCAGAGGTCACGCAACTTTGGAGCGCTGGGTCATTAACAGCTTGGCAAGCCATAATGAATCAACGGGCAATAGGAAAAGGGCAAGGGTACGAAGGCACATACTTCCCGGGGCCACTGCACCCCTGAACATGAATACACATACCCAATGCAAAACAGAATCTGTTTTTCATAACAGTCGATTCACACTGCATTATATGAACCAGCTAGATCAATATAGTGCAAGAGTCTTTTGAAGTTCAACTTGGCTGGAGGGGCAACCTCTCATCTTCAAGGAACATCTGAGAGCCCTCCTGAGTGAGCTCCTACCATACTACTGAGACCACTGAGCGGTCAATTCAGGAAGCCAAACACGGACGCATGTGATGACTGTCTTCCTGTTACAAAAAAAGTCACAGACGCCTTTGCCAAAACTTCCAACCATGGGAAAAATTAGAAGGATTGGCATGCTTGCCGGGGGGGAACTTTCATGCAGCTGTAGAGATAATAGTTGAGGATGTTGACAGCGACACGGGCAGTATTTCGTGAAATCTGAGAGTGCATCGCGTTGACGTTGGCGAGGCACCCTTTGGAGCTTCTGACAGCCCAGTTAAGCGTCCGTCGCATGAACCTTCTGATGCGATCGCATGTATGACACGCCTACAGGAAGAGATTTGCATTCATTACCAAAACTATAGCCTGTCAAAACATGGAGAGGTTGCTTTGCTTTAGAGTTTTGTCAGGGTAAGGCTAAGCGCTACTCTCCGCACTCAGGCTGCTGCTCCATGGGAAAATTACCATCGATTGCACGCATTTCCACTCAGTGTTGCTTTTGAAAATTTCGGAACATTTCGGAGCATAAACAGGAATTTGGTATTTAAGCAGCTACTTGTTACAACATTCGCATTGCTCTGAAACTGCTTAGGTTTGGATTAGCAAAGATGCTCTCTATGCTTATTGCTGTAAGAATCTCCTGACCCACAATGGGAACAATCATGTTGTTTCTCCCTGACTTCAATCTGTTCTTAGCCCACATTCTGTGCTTCCGGGCGGCCAAGTCTGCAGCAGATTATGGCCGTTCTACAGCTCTGTGGAAACGATAGGTGAAGATCAAGAAATCTGACATGACTTTGGTCTCACGGGTTTGGTAAAGTCATGCGGCAAAGCAACTCCGTCCAATCAATGCGCATGAGCTTCCACCAACTCATGAGCCAGACAATATCACATATGAGCAAGATGAAATTGGACTAACTGATAAAAAGAGGCTTTATAACTCACTGGTGATCTTCTATTTGATGACAAAAACATACCATCATTTCTATAGCAAGATGTGCTGCTTTTACTGCAAGCATGAAGTAATGTACATATGTCTCAAATACTCCTGTCATCCCAATGGCACTTAACAAGATCTGAGGTACTGATTTGAGCCAAAAAGTTCCAAAGCAGCAGACTAAAATAACTTTGTGATCATGTCATACTGAAGGGAATGAATGCAGATAATCTCGTTGGCATAGCTAGGTCATTCTGTATATGGGTCAAACTATCAGTCGCACTAGGCCACATCACTCACCTAATATGTTCAGCTTCACAGGGAATTCCCGACCAGTGCTACAGACTTAGCATATTATGACGCCTGCTTCATTTAAAGAGATGACCTACACACCAGCCAGACAAGGGAGCATGATGAAAAAGGACTAATTTGTCATGTATATCATGAGAAATCGTGGGAATTTCTTCATATGCAGCAGCTACGTGTGAAACGATGTCTGGGAAGCCACCAGCAAAGCATAGCAACATAGTGCAAAGACTGAAAGACTGAAGAGCTGTATCAGTATGAACTTATAAAGAGGGCGAGCTGTCATGTGGTCAATAAAATCCCTAACAGCATCGCAGCAAAAGGTTAAGAAAGTCTGAAAGACTGAAGAGTTGAATCAGTTAGGGGTTAAAAATGAAGTGAGGCCTCTTATAGTCAAATCAACAACCAGGAGCATAGCAGCATTAGGATAACAAAGACTGAAAGGCTGGAGAGATGTATCATAAAGGGCTTACAAACAGAGTGTAGCTCATATAGTTCTCCAATGTCGACCTGATAAAACTGAAGCCTTTGATTCATTTAAAGTGAAACTCACCACGAGATTCCCGATCACCATGACCAGCATGAAGACGAGGATGCAGAGGGGTTGGCCGGCCACCTCCATGCAGTCCCACATGGTCTCAATCCACTCGCCGCACAGCACCCGGAAGACGATGAGGAAGGAGTGGAAAAAGTCCTTCATATGCCATCTCGGCAGTGTGCAGTCGCTGGAGATCTTGCAGACGCAGTCCTGGTAGTTCTTCCCAAACAGCTGCATCCCCACCACAGCGAAGATGAAGACGATGATGGCCAGCACCAGGGTCAGGTTCCCCAGGGCGCCCACTGAGTTGCCGATGATCTTGATCAGGGCGTTGAGCGTAGGCCAAGACTTCGCCAACTTAAAGACCCTCAACTACAGAAACAGAAAAAATAAACATTTAGTTCTGATAAGATGCTAAGCACCATTGTTATATTTGCACGCCTCTCGTTAGCCAGAAATGTTGAGGTCGGACCGCTGTACATATCTTAAAAATTAGCTTATCAAAGTAAGAAAGAACAGCTTTTGTAAATTTTTTTTTTTGCTTTTTTTTAAATCATATTATTCTCACAAGGCCTTTTGTAATTCAGTAAATCTCCAGCTTTTAATGCCAAGACTGGTTTCAACTGTATCAATACTGTGAATTAAAAATATACTTTAAATACCCCCCTAAAAGAAAATGAGCGGTTTAGCCAAACAGGGTTTAATGGGTCTTCTCAGAAATTAATAGAGATTCTACCAGCTATTGATTTTTATTGTGTGTTTTAGCTATTTAAAGGATAATAATTACGCTGCAGTCCAAACATTCCTCATCCAAGGCTGAGCATCTAATTACAGTAAAACAACACGCTTGCATTGTTTGTTTGGCAGATGCTTTCCTCCAAAGCAGCGTGCGGGAATAAAAAGGGCACTAGCTAAAAACCAAGAGCTTGTATAATCCGGGGATGCAACAAATCAATGCCAAGTGGATTTTACATATGCAAGATTCTACATATATTTTTTAGCAGATGCTTTAATCCAAAGTGATGTACATCTCTGAGAAAGCAGGGTCTGTCGACCTCGATAGCAATAGGGGGTTAACAGTCTTGCTAGGAGGCCTGGCAGGAAAGTAATTCAGCCAGTCCTGGGATTTGAACCTGTCACCTTCTGATTACAGGCATTGCTTCCTTACCTTCTGGGTCACACGCCACCTCGTAAAGCAACTTAAGATGCAACACAAGGCCTATAAAATAAAATAAATATGAAATATATTTATATATAAATAGACAGGTGGTACAGTGATTGACACTGCTGCCTCACACCTCTGGGGCCAGGGTTCAAGTCTCTGCCCAAGTTCCAAGTGTGTGGGGTTTGTATGTTCTCCCCATGTTGTCATGGGGTTTCCTCTGGGGACTCCAGTTTCCCCCGACAGTCTAAAAACATCCTGAGGTTAATTTTAGTTGTCAAATTGTGCATGTGTGAGTGTGCCCTGTGATGGGTTGGCACCCCATCCTCGGTTGTTCCCTGTCTTGTGCCCATAGGCTCCAGACCCCCCACGACCCTAAACAGGACAAGTGGTTTCAGAGAATGGATGTAAATAAATAGATAGACAGATATTTCTACTCTGTGTATGTGGTATACAGTGTGTATATCAGATCTTTTGTGTACATATAGTCCTGGGTTTTGCCCATCTGAAGGGGCCATTGTCAGTGCCAGTCAATCAATTAGGCAACATCAACTGCTGCCTAGGCCCAACTTAATAAGCCGATTTCACTGCCTTTTGGATGGGAGGTGCTCGCCTCGGGTCACATGGACTCCATACTGGGTGTTGCGAAGAGTCATCTCCAAATGGTGGGTGCTTACCAGTCTGAAGGAACGGAGCACAGAGAGTCCCTCCACGTTGGAGAGTCCCAACTCCATCAGGCTGAGGGTGACAATGAAGCCGTCGAAGATGTTCCAGCCCTGCTGGAAGTAGTAGTAAAGGTCCAGGGCGATAATTTTGAAGACCATCTCAGCCGTGAAGATCCCAGTGAACACCTAGTCGACATGGAAGAAATTCATTTTATACAAAAGCAACACCCCTGGACACTAATGTGGACCGCTCCACTGAAAGCTATCTGAAGTGGAATGCCATTGCTTAGACAGCCCTGGACAAACCGAAGGTGCCAGTTGGAGTTTAAGTGGAAAGAAGGTAATGGAACTCCAAAAGCAGAGTCAGGAATGCTGGGAATTTACTGGTACACTTCAGTGATAAGTGAGTCATAATAAAAGTGAACCCTTGTGCAAATTAACTGAAACAAGCTGTCACATCTACATGTAGACAAAGAGGCCACAGTTAAGATGGACATTACAGTCATATTAATTCCTACTTATTGCCTTTGGTCCAGATTTAGGACCTGGTCGATTGATAAAACTTGTATGGGAATAATCCAGGATGGGGCGCCAATCCATCGCAGGGCACACACACCATTCATGCCTATGGGGAATCTGGCAACTCCAATTAACCTTAGCATGTCTATGTAATGTGGGGGGGAAACCAGAGAACCCAGCAGAAACCACAGGGAGAAGCCTGAACCCCAGAGCACTCACCTGAAACATATGGCAGAAGCACGGTTATACCACCCAACTCTAACCTCACCTGAGCAGGCCTGTTAGTCTGTGGGCACAGTGCCTCCTCTGTCCATCCACCCAGCTCTAACCCCATCCAAGCAGGCCTGCCAGTCTGTGGGCTCAGTGCCTCCTCTGTCCATCCACCCAGCTCTAACCCCACCCGAGCAGGCCTGCCAATCTGTGGGCACAGTGCCTCCTCTGTCCATCTACTCAGCTCTAACCTCATCTGAGCAGGCCTGTCAGTCTGTGGTCTCAGTGCCTCCTCTGTCCATCCACTCAGTCATTCCACCCTACTCTATCCCCATCCGAGCAGGCCTGCCAGTCTGTGGGTTCAGGGCCTCCTCCGTCCATCCACTCAGTCATACCACCCAGCTCTAACCCCATCCAGGCAGGCCTGCCAGTCTGTGGGCTCAGGGCCTCCTCCGTCCATCCCCTCAGTCACACCATCCAGCTCTAACCCCATCCAAGCAGGCCTGCCAGTCTGTGGGCTCAGTGCCTCCTCTGTCCATTCACTCAGTCATACCACCTAGCTCTAACCCCACCCGAGCAGGCCTGCCAGTCTGTGGGCTCAGTGCCTCCTCTGTCCATCCCCTCAGTCACACCACCCAGCTCTAATACCATCCAAACAGGCCTGCCAGTCTGTGGGCTCAGTGCCTTCTCTATCCATCCACTCAGCATACTCTCTGCCCTGTTGGCTGTGCAAACCAGCAGGTCCCGGGTCACTGCATGCATGTCTATGTCACAACTTGTTTCAATTAATTTGCACAGGGGTGTGTGTTTTTTTTTCTTAGTCACATAACATGAAGCTCAGCACACCCATGGAAAATAATACTTGTTGATTTTTTCTTTTGAGCTACGAGCCACACATTTTCAAAGCTTCATCTTGCACTAGGTACAAATCCCTACCATCCGGTGTTACAGAAACCTGAACCCAGCGGGAGTGGGAGTGTTAAGATTAGAGGATTCCCCTCCTGTGAGGTTGCCTGCCAGGTTGAAGCATCTATTTGAAAATTCAGGAGGAAGGAGAATGATGGCACACATTTAAACCAATGAAGTTATGAAGCAGAATTATGACATACATTTGTAACAATAACAAATTTAGGAAACAGAATGAACACACAGATTTAAACCAATAACAGGCTTAGCAATCAGAATGATGCCACAGATCTAAACCAATAAGAAACGTAGGAAGGAAAGTGATGACAGATTTAAACCAATAGCTGTGGAGGATAAGTTCTTGGTACCTGTACCCCATGTTCCTCAGTGATTTCTCCCTTGATACAACACTGAGTACAGGGTATATGGATGAGGATGGGAGGGGAGCAGAACTTTTTGAACAACAAGCTAAAAACGATAACTGCGTACTTTGGAAACCTGATCAAATCGAATTATTCGTTTTTATCCGTCGTCAGTCTTGTAATTTACTTGTTCGTTTCTTGTGCTCAGCGTGGTTCATTTGGTACTGTACATAAATGTATCAAAAAACAAATTGTGATTGTTTTATGTTTTATAAATAAACTTTTTTTCACAGGGATCAGTACTGGGCCCGCTACTGTTTACCCTATACATGCTACCTCTTGGTAACATTATTAGAATTCATGGTGTTGGGTTTCATTGTTATGCAGATGATACACAGTTATATATATCTGTTAACCCTGATGATACATCACTCCTATCTCGGTTAGAAGACTGTCTGTTAGATATCCGGTGTTGGATGGCAAAAAAATTCCTAATGTCAAACACAGAAAAAACAGAAGTACTGGTAATTGGTCCCAAGGCTGCAAGAAATAAGTTTCACCACCTCAGCATTAGTGGCCTTCCTACACAACCTAACAGGGTGGTTAGAAATCTTAGTCTTCTAGTTGATTCAGATCTATGTTTTGATGCTCACATAAGAAGTATTACTAGAACTGCGTTTTATCATCTATGGAACACAGCCAAGCTTCGTAAGATGCTCCTACTTCGTGATGCAGAAAAATTAATACATGCCTTTGTAACTTCCAGAGTGGACTACTGTAATGCCCTCCTTTCTGGTTACCCGTCTGGTTCCTTACATAAACTTCAGCTGGTACAGAATGCAGCAGCCAGAGTTCTCACAAACACTAAAAAAATTGATCACATTACACCGGTCTTATCCTTCCTTCATTGGTTACCAGTTAAGTCTCGGATTGACTATAAAATACTGCTATTAACCTATAAAGCACTGAATGTCCTTGCACCAGAATACCTTAGCGATCTGCTGACCTCATATCTGTTAGTACCTATGGTAGAAAGAGCTACTAAAAACACACCTATTTAGTTTAGCTTATAGGGACACTAGTTCTAGCTCTAGCTAGCTTCTCACTCCCAGTTAAACCTATAGTGTGAGGTGTAGAGCTGGGTGGGGATCGGTGCCATTGGTTTTGGATAAACTGAATTGACAGTGCTGTCACTCTAGCTTCACAATCGCTTGTGGGATTGAAGTGCTGACATTTCAGGGACTCCCCATGCCTGCATTCCCACCTGCCTCTCCCTCCTACTTATGCTGCCATAGCCATATCTGCCAGAGCATTGCACTTCATATTGCACTCATCTACCTTTTAGCACTGCCTATAGTCTCCCCTACTTTGACTAACTGCATATTTTATTTCCCCTACTCTTCCTGGGGGGTGCTGCCTGGAGACCTCAATCTATCAATATGTCCAGCACACCCTGCAACATGTGACGTCGCCACTACCAATGACGTCCGTGCATCCAGCTCGCCATTCTGCCTGTGTCATTTTCCTTGTATGACCCGCTGCCTGCCTTCCGGTTGCCTGGCAATTGGAGGGAGCGTTGGCACCGGCTGTCATCTCCCCCCTGCTCCCCATTTGTGTCTCAAATTTTACTGTATTTGACTCTCCCTGCCAGCCCCTGGAGGATGGGCTCCCCCTTTGAGTCTGGTCCCTCCCAAGGTTTCTTCCTTCTCGGGAGTTTTTCCTTGCCACTGTCGCCTATGGCTTACTCACTGGGGGCTTTGGGTGGGGATGCTGTAAAGCACTTTGAGACGATGTAATGTTGTGATAATGCGCTATACAAAAATAAATTTGTTTGTTTGTTTGGGCCATTCCGGTGATGTTGTACAGACCAGAGGACCTAAATGATCTCACAGGGCGCCTGGTCTTGGGGAACATGTCTGAGATTTATGTTTCATTCAACATTAAATGGTCCAGGTGCGCCAGAAAGCTAGATGAAACCGACTTGCTGAAGAAGCACTAACCATTCTTATTATATTGCAAGGTGTTGTATAGCCCTTACTCCAATACTACTTATACTTATGGCTGGGTAGCCACTGGAAGCTCAGCCTAACTGTACTTATGCTTAGTTGGCTCCTTGTTTGTCATGTGATACTGGCCTCACTTTGGACGAAAGCGTCTGCTAAACCAGTGTTTCTTAATTAAGCCAGTCCTCGACGACCCCCAGATAGGCCACATTTTTGCTCTCTCTCAATTCCCTGAGAGTTAGGAGGGAGATAAAACATAAACTGTCTCAAGGTCCCCGAGGACTGCTTTGAGTAACAATATGCTAAACAAAATAAATGTGAATGAACAGTTTTGTATTCCTTTTAATTCAGCAAATGAAAGTAGAAAAATATGGCATGAATTGTGGTTTGTGCTTTTCTCAAGTTCAAATAACAGTGGCAGAGGAAACAAAACATTTTGAAAATAGAAACTGGGTTTCTCACTAGTACTGAAGTAACAGCAAATGCCTGTATTTGCCTGAAGGATTTCAAAATCACAGTGCTGTACTGGCATCCTGTCCAGGGAATGCCCTGCCTCGTGCCCTGTGCCGTCATGGGTGGGCTCCGGGCCCCTCCGCCGACCCTGACCATAATGAGCTGTTAGAAGATGGATGGATGGATTTAGAAATCAAAAGCAGTTTTAGCCTGCCACTAAACTGGCAACTGGGTTAGTTGGTTGGTTGTGCCTTCTGTGTCATGCTTGGTCTTTTATGCGTGTGAACCGAAGAACAGCTTCTCTCCAGGCCTTGCGGGGATGACTGGGCAATGTTGCCACATCTAAGATGACGAACATGCATGCACACCCAACCAACGCATTGCCTAGGCAGGAGCATGTGAAGTGAGGAGCTCCTCCAGGCTTGAGGGATGTCAGTGAGCCCAAGCCTATTGACTACGACAGGCAGGCGGCGTCCCAGGAAGACTCCTGCTAGCTTACAGAACGTCCTCCCATGAGTCACGAATTCATAAATATATTTCATGACCAAACTCATTAGCTGTCCTTTGCAGTCAAACACTAATAATATAACTCAGTCGAAAACCACTGAAGGTAACAGAGGAAACAAAACAAAGGACTGAAATGAGGGAATTTGTGTCGCCGATATGTTCTTACACGACTGTTACGTGTTTCATGCCTTGCCTTTCCCCCTCACATATGTCTGGTGTTCTCTACACTTTGTGACCTTTCACACGGACTGATTGGTTTTTTCATTCGTCTCCATCAGGTCTGCTAGGTCTATGCAAAGACAGAGGTTCCTGGAAAAATCACTGGGATGCGTCCTTGGCTGCGGAAGCTGACAACACTGTATCTTTGTGGCTGGCCACAGATGGCGAGGAGACTCTGAGATGAACGCGTCCACTTCTCACACATCCAGGCACCCACACCTTCTTGTTCTCTTTTGTTTCAAACTTCTACTGTTTTATCTATCAGGCATTAAAGTTAATGGCTATGAAACTCCGCCTTCCTGTTGTCAGCAAAATGCAGCAGCAATATTCCAGCGAAGCTGATGTTTATTCAGGTTTTACCCTCTGAAAATTGACCTCACCCTGGTCACACTTCAGTGATGCAGACACAGGTCCAGCTTAAAATCTCCAAACTCAAAGTACCAGGCAGGAGCATGAGAAGTGAGGGGTGTGTGATCCTCCAGGCTTAAGGGATGTCAGTGAGCCCAAGCCTATGGACTACGACACAAGCCAACGGGGTGAGGACACTCATTCTCCCCACCGCTTCTCCGGGGCAACGTGGGAGCAGCTAAAAATACAGTGTTATATAATGTCTGCCAGTAGTGAAACCAGTCTTCCCTTTTCTGCCCAGCTGGCTCTCTGATATCTTCCAGCTGCATCGTCACGGGGATTGTGAGCGTCACCCCATGACGTGATTGAGAGGAGAACGTGTCCTCATGTATGCCTCACTTCTATTCTTACATTTGTCACCAGCGAGTTCTATACGTTCATCCATTCTATCAACTAACCCAGTGCAGGGTTAAGGGGGGGCGGCTTGGAGAATATCCCGGGTAACATCGGGCCAGTGGCAGTTTTTACCACCACTCAAACCATATAATTGCAAGAGGCCCCCTGTGGGCCACACACAATCACTACACTAGGGCGACAGCAAATCTGCCCCTGTGTAGGGCACAAGGTTGGGGTACAGTCTAGATGGGATGTCAGTCCATTGTAGGCCACACGCCTATGCACATCATGGGTGATTTAAACACAGCAGGTAACCCAAATGAAAGTCTTTGTAGAAAATTAATTCACATATGGTGATCGAGTTTCCAGAAGCATTCTTAACGCTACGTCATTCGTAAGTTCTACGTTAAAAGATAGAACTTACGAATGAAGTAGTGTAAGGAAGGCTTTGGGACACTCACCCATAGAGTAGAGCGAGGAACTGAACCTGCAATCGAACCTGTGACTAGAAATGCCAAATTGCCTAACTGCACGTGTTTGGACCACAGAAGGAAAGCAGAGGGGAAGTCCACAGGGAGAACACATTGGGCCAGGTCCAACACTGTGGTGAAACTTACGAGGTTGCCGACGCTGAGCATGTTGTTGAACTCATCCGTCATCGGGTAGTGCTCCAGGGCCATGAAGAGGGTGTTGAGGACGATGCACACCGTGATGAACAGGTCCAGGAAAGGGTCCATCACCAGGATTTTAAAGAACGCTTTCACCTTCAACCACATGGGGCTGCAATCCCAAATTAGGTACTTCTTGGCAAATTTGGTCCAGCAGGGGTGGCACTTTCGATGGGGCTCCTCTAGTTCTGTAAGCGAATCAGAGATCAGACACAGTCAGGTCCCTGAACGCTCAATTATCACTTAAGAAACCTGACTTTCGGTGCTGAGCCCCAGTGCTGAAGTTAAGTTTCCTTGAGTTCTTGTATAGCTGAAATGTGATTTATTCACCATTTTACCTACCTACCGTACACTGGCTGCTCCCATCCCAAAGAAATTCATATAACTCATAGACATAACAACACAATTAGCAGGCCAAAGCCCATTTGAAACCAGCTGAAAATTTCACAAAAAAATCACTCATAATTCCGAAGGTTAGATCTGTATCTCCAAAGTAATGGGGGCGAGGCCATTCCCACTGCTTGTACAGAAGCAATATCCAGACAACTCAGACAACAGCAAACACTGTTTACTCAGAAGACTCCTGGGAGTGGTCAATGATGCACATCTTTCACCATGTAAATACAGTCTGAAGATGAAGAGCTAGATCATATTTTAACAACTTTAAGTCATTAGTTGAATTCTCCCCAGTCGAGCTTGATGGGCTGAATGGCCTCCTCTCATTTGTAAATTTCTTACATTATGTCTTTGCTGTTTATTTTTTCCAAGGATAGAAGTAGAATAGAAAAGCTCTATAGTAGATTATATAACAGTCAGTAAGGTATACGGGTCCATCCATCCATTCCAGGAACTTATCCATGGTCACATGATGCATATCCCAGAATGCATCTATTGCAAGGTATACGCAGTCATACACTATAGATAATTTAGAGATACCAGCTTATCTAACAGTATGCCTTTGGGCTCTGGGAGGAAACCTGAGTAAAAAACCCAGTAAAAGCCTGTGCAACGCCGAGCAAACAAACATGAACTGCATACACACAGCTGAGGGCAGGAATCAAATCCACAACCTAGAGGCCAGGGTGCTACCCACCGTGTCACCATATCGCCTATAATTACTGTAAATTTGAGAAATTATAGCTTTAAACTTAAAGTGAGAACAGCAATCGCTGCACAATAAGCAAGAATCAGTAACATTTTTCATTTCTTTTCAGGAGATGTTTGCCTAAAGAGCAGTTAATATTTCAGCGAAATGGACAAGCGGCACTGTGGGTTTTCCGAGCAGCTGGAAGCTGACACAAAATACAGACCAGCCAGCACCTCGTGTCAGTGCTCCCGCCTCCCCAGCCATAACCCAGGGCACCGTTTATTGTGACGGCTGTAAACTCGTCAACCTGTTCAATCAGTTGTTGTTGGAGCACCTTGATAAGACTGATTTTTTTGCCCTCAGTGGTTAGGCCTCTGTTTGTGAAATCAGACAGTTGGTGGTTCAAATCCCATCCTCAACAAAATAGTCAAATATCTGTAAGGCCCTTGAGAAAGACCCTTAACCCACCCAAAATGCTGCCAAGGTGCCAGATACTGTAAGTGGCTGACCCTCTGCTCAGACCCCCCCCCCCACTTCACTCTCAGCTGTGTGTGTTTCAGTAGATTGCATGATGGGACGTGTAAAAGGAAGAATTCCAATGTAACTAAAAAAAAAAGCACATTTTTTAATTATTTTATTATTTTACATATAGTTTTCATTAACTAAACAACACAAATCACTTCCTGAATGTCTGCTTCAACAATTTTAACACTTTTGAGTGATTTTTTTTAACATTTTTAAGATATTAAGATTTCCCCCTTGGGCATTTTTTGGTTAATGTCTTCTTAGATTTTAATTTTGAATAATTTCAGCGTGCAGCAGTAAGCAATGCAATTTGGTCAAAATACGCTAAACAACAAAATGGGAAAAAAAAAACATATGCGGTAATGATTTTTGAATGGGTAGAGGATGTTATGAAGATGTGCTTCGGTGCAAATTACAGTGCATGGGTGAGCAGATAAAGCATTATCAGCAGTTATGTTAAATTAGGCGTAGCTAAGGTAGCATGACATTCTGTCGAAACAACAAAAACCAGAAGCCCAGGGGAGTGTCATCTATGGAGCTGAAGCAGTCCCAGGCATTTCTGGGACAGATACCCAGGGAATAGAGGACGCCTGCTGGACCCAGGTTGGTCATGTGACTGGGGTGCGTGGACCATACATGGTTACATAAGCCGAAAGATCCAAGGTTGTGATGTAATGGTGGCTGACATGGAGCTTCAGTTTAGTTTGTGGCATTGAAATGGAGCTAATGTCCTTGGAGGCCCAAAGCGGGGCACGATGCAATCGTCATGGCGATTTCATCACAGTTTATGCAAGCTTTGTGTAACATCAGCCATGACTTCAAGGTAAGTGGTGCTGAACAAGCAGTGTTGGGCAATACAGGTCCAGAAGCTACAAATCCAGACCAAGATTTTGTTTCTACCAACCAGCTGAGCAGAAACAGTCACCGTCATAGAGTAGTTAACTGGTTGGTAGAAACAAAGTCTTGGTCTGGATCTGCAGCTCTTGGGCCTGAAACGCCCAACACTGTGAACAAGAGATGGGAGACCTGGGAGAGGTGATACTGGGTGGGATCACCACACACTACCAGTCACTGACCGCTTTACCCTGCTTTCTGTTGGGTACTGCATTGATTCTTTCAGGGCTGTGATGGCCTCTACCTCAAACCCTGTGCTTTCTGGGATATGCTTTAGGGACACCGCAACCCTGGGGCGTATACAAGGGCGGGGCTACAGGGGCACTGGCCCTGTCTTAAAGCTGATTGGCCCCTGGGGACCCCCTCCCCTGTCACTCACCAAGTCAAAATATTTCATTGGCTAATGATAAGGTCGGCCCCTCTGTAGGAATTATGTCCCCTCTTATGCCCCCTACCATAAAGAATCCGATAATCGCCCCTCCCTCAACCCTGTACTGGATAAACATGGAAGATGAATGGATTGATAGGATGAAGATGAGCATAATCCTATCCACCTTGAATTTCAAAGCCTCACTTATCGCATCACAGTGTATTACTCTGTGAAAGACAGGACATTATACTTCACAGAATCACTGTGTGGAGCACTTAGCAACGGAGAGGTACAGTGGCTATTCAGGTACTGAGCACATCGCAGGAGGAAACAGGAAACAAATTGGGGGGAGGGGGGCAGCACCCTCAGTACCTTCCACGTTGTCGCTGAGGTAGCTGATAGCACTCAGCGCTCTCTCCCTCTTGGAGGTCTCCTCGAGGACGGCGTTCATGTCGTTAGCTCTGCTGTGCACCTGCCAAAGTCAGAAAGCAAGCTACCGTCATACGATGAACCACTGCTAGCTCACCGCTAACGGCTAAGGTGCTGTCTCTGGTCGTTTACCTAACCACTTAACAATGGTATCATCAGCTGACAATTCATGCCTTCTTGATCTACTGGCCAGCACCGAGTCGTCCCCCCCCCACTCCCTAGCAGCCACCTTTGTCCCCCAATGGGCTGCCCAGCCCTGCTTCTACCCTCGTGACTTATCTGAGTGTCTATTATTGAGAACTAGACATGGTATTGGAACAGCACAAATTCTCAGTCTAATAACACCCTTCTCTACTGGAAGGGAAAAAAAAACACAAAAAGAAAATTTTGTTTTGCATTTATATTTTATCACTATGTCCAGAAAGGCCACTATGTCACACCCACATACAATGTGACCTGTTACTGCGGTATTATGGCTGTTTTTCCAAGAAAGGGGAGACCGAACCCTTCAGGGTCCAGTCAGCAGAGGGGGGTAAAACCAAGCATCCATCTTCTAACTGCTTATCCTGTAGAGGGTCGCGGGGGGTCTGGAGCCTATCCCGGCAGCATGTGGGTAAAAACCATTACACAAAATATTTTTTGCCGGAGTTGGCAAATATAATGAGATGTAACTTCACCCAATGCCCTCTACCAGACAGATACAATATTTATATTTTGGGTTTTGTTTTTAGGATTATTTTCAGTAGCAGGAAACATCCATTAAAAGGAGGCTTGTTCCCCGCCAGAGTATTTCACTGCTACATTAATAATATTCTGAAACAGGGGTTTTCAACTAGGGGTCTGCAGAAAGTTTTTGTAAAACAAATGCACTACTCCCATCATTGGTTACTCTTCGTGACGTGTTTCATTGGCCACTTGTACTATCCCCAGAAGTAGGGCTGTAGCCCAGCCTTGTACCCTGTGCTGCCTGGGAAGGAATCCAGGTGACCTTTATGACCCAGATTAGTATAAGTAGCTAGAGGATGGATGGATATATTATATACGATGAATTTTTGTGGATATGTAATTTCTTAATTAAGGACTGAACCGGATTACTATAGATGACAAAAACAAGCCTTTAAAATCTTTACTATTCCACAAACAACAACTACATTTTGCTTACTTAGCAAATACCTTTATCCCAAAGGGATGTATGTGTTGTGTTTTTGAGGAAGTTGGGTCAGACAGTCGCTGGAGCAATTGGGGATTAAGGGCCTCGCTCAAGGGATCAACAGTGACATCACTCTGCCTACCCTGGGATTTGAACCAGTGACCCTCTGCTCACAGATACAGTGTCCTAAGCTGGAGCGCCACACACTCCCCCCAGAACAATTTGTCATTCGTTTTAAAAATTTGTAGTTTGCAGTATGTTTTTACATGATATAAATTATTCATATCCATTTATTTGGTGCCAGGTCATGACGAGCTTCGAGCCAGTCCCAGAGCAAGCTACACCCTGATCATCACACGCCACCCTCACCAAGGGCAACCTACAGACACCAACACGCTTAAGTGCATTTTTCTGGCCTGTGGGAGCAAAACCCACGCAGCCTCCACACGCCAGGACCCAGAGCCGGCGCAGGGATCCAGTCCCGGAGGCGTGAGGCCGCAGTGTTACCCACTGAGCTGTTACGCACCTCCCAGGGAAGAAGCTAGCTTGTCATTTCAGCTAAAAATACAGGAAAAGTGAAAAGTCATTCCTAGGCCTGTCTCATTGTAATGAGAGCAATTCAGAACCAGGAAACGAACAGGTTTAGCTGTAAGTGTGGTCTCCACTCTACAAATATAAACCAGACAAATACACTCCGAATTACTTGAACAGGTAAAGAAGCAGGATAGCCATGTATCTGTGAGGCCCTGTTTATAAATAATAACCAGCTGCACTCCTCACATTTCTAATTATTTTTTCCACATGTCATTTTTCATAAATCCTGGTTGCCGGCTCTATTTTTAATTTCTTAAATTTAAGTTGTTCAGAAATAAATTGTCTTTATCCTTCTCAGTCTATTGTTCGTTGTTGCAGAGATGCAAGTGTGATTGCATCAGTATCCATTGGATTGGGATTTTAATGCATGACTGCAGAGCATATGATTGCACGCGTTACTTTTTTTGGATGGTGGGAGGAAATGGGAACACCTTGCCGCGAGGACCCAGAACATGAGGAGAACATGCAAGGACCACATGCATCGTGAGTGTAGACACAGTACTGTCCAAATCTTCCATAATAAAACTACAATAATTGACATGAGTTACACTAGCTAATAAAATACTAAAGCTAAGATAATGTACACTAGCTATTGTGGTAAAATTTGTTTGACTAAAACCTTGAAAAACACTGATACTCTGGCAACGGACACCGTTGTTAATTAGTGCTTTAACATTTTAACATTTACGTTAAACTTTGGCACTGTTAACATCCAACGGACTGTGAAAACAGTGAGCGCATGCAGTGTCAGAATACCTCCGCAACATCAAAAGTAAACAGACACGTCTTATCTACACCTCCTCAAAGGAGAGGACCACACTGAAAGCATGTTTTCTGCTATCAGTACAGTGCCGAGTGACGGGGAGCTACCAGGACTGATCAAAGCATCCCCCTCTCTCAGCTTAACAGCACGCCTGGCACTTAATAAACAGCGGTTGCACTGCTGTGTGGAAATATTGTCATAAATCAGGCATTACTGCTTTGCTAGCGCAATTTGCAGTTAAGGGCACTTAGACTATATGGCGCCGTCGTGTCCAGGTTATCTCAAGTCTCATGGCAATTACCTCATTAGTCTCAAACCGGTGCAAATATAACACCCCACCCCCCCCAGGATGCTGGCTGAACATAAGAACAGAATAGCTTATTCAGTTTCCGAAACTGAAATGAACTTAACAGTGTGATTAAGACGTAGAGCTGATTTTACGGCAGTGATGTCATAATGCAAGTTAAGACAAGATCAACAGCACATGCCGTCCCCCTAACCCCCTCTCAGGAGAGACATGTGTAGCATTCCGTGCATAGTGGATGCACTTCTCAGTTCAATCTCTCAAGATTCCACATGCCGCTGATATAAAGCTCCCCTCATGTCCAAGGGCCAGATTATTTAGTAGTCAACTTGGCATTTTTACAGAAATGCTTTATTTATTATCAATTAATACAGGGGTCTCCAACTCTGGTCCTGGAGAGCTACTAACCAGTAGGTTATCTATCCTACTCGGGTTCTGATGAGCCACACTACTAACATACAGTAGGTAAATAACAGGAGCAGGTGTGGCTCATCAGAAGCCAGGTATGATAGAAAACTTACTGGATAGTATCTCTCTAGGACCGGAGTTGGAGACCCCTGAATTAGTGTGTGAAGTTGGGGGGGGGGGGGGTTACATAAGACGACTCTCTGGGAGAGAATCCGACAGCCGCTAGGGTCAGGCCTACTCACATGATCCTCGTCAAGGGTCTCCATGGCACAGGCAGGTAGCGGCAGAGAAGCCCGAGGCCCCAGGTTGGAGATCCCATTCTGGTCGACGATGACGACGAGCCTGCCGTTGACGTTGAGCACCTGGGAGCAGCGGCTGTCCACGCTCTGGCAGCTTGGCCTCCTCTTCCGCCAGGGCAGGTTGTCGTTGTTGCCGGGAGAGTTGAAATCATAACCAGGGAAGTCGGTCTCTGAATCCTTGCCGCGAGGACGGAAGGTGAAGATGCTGGCCTGGCTTCCTCTTTTGGTTTGGGGCGAGAGGGCTTGTGCCAGGATATGCTGGCATTAAAGAAAACACAGCACAGGTCAAATGTCCCAAATTAAATCATATTTAAAGAATTAAGAATAAGTTGTATGTAATCATAACAGTGCTTGATGGTCATTTGATGCAAGGGGGTTATCATTCATAAAGGAAATTTAAGCAGATAACAACATACCATTGCCATTGTGACTCAACAATCTACTTAGTGTGTTGAAGAGAAATTTTTCATTTTTTGTTATTTTTGTGATGAGACCTCCAATGACCAAGTCAGGCTTCCTGTATTATAGGTTGTGGTTTTAAGATCCAACAAAGAACTTTTTGTTAAATTTCCAAACCTCACCAAGTTCGCAGAAAGTTTCTCAAAAATGTATCTTGTGGACACATTGTGAGTGTTGGAAATTTGCTCTTCGTAATAAAAACAAAAAGATCTTGGCGAGATTGTAGCCAATCCCCGGAAGTAAAGGGCACAGGATGGTCAGGATGCCAGTCCATCACGGGGCACACTCAGACTACTGCGTTTTAATTTCCCAGAATCCGGACTGCGCCTACATCCGTATCTTGCAGAAAGCAAGCCTGAAATCATGGTATCATGTTCTACCAGGATGGCCAAGACCACTGCAGCTAGAACATGCAGCTGTCAGGTGGCTGGTAATTGGGGTTCTGAAGGTTCCCTGCAGGCAGAACTTTTTCAAAGGGCCTCGACACCTTTTCTAAACATGAAATAAGGAACTTCTGACCTGTGTGGCTACAGAGAGCCATGATCCGTGTGACACCCTTTATACTGCTGGGCTTTTGAAGTGCATCTGCACAACCACCTCTTTTTTGTTGGGATCACGGGAGAATATCGACGGAAGTATACAAAGGACATCTAAGGGCGTAATCCCAGTGTTGTGGAAACTCTTGGTAGCAGAGGAGCCCTTTAAATAAGATTGTCTACATACTGAGATATCATTTCAGCCAGGGAAGGACTGGTGTGAAACATAGGCAGATTAAACTGAATTTACATTACAGCAGGACGTAAAACAGGATAAGATTAACTTTATTGATCTCGGGGGAAATACTGTGTTTTTTTTTTTTTAATTCTATAACACTTGCTGTCAGATTTACTCTTCTTCGTTTCCAATTGCATCTCCATGTATTACATATAGATATTATTTCCACTCAATTTGTCATTTGACCTCATTTTACCTTAGATCCCTCAAAGGAGTCAGGCTTTTGTGTCTTCTCGTCTAGATTGCCGTCTGCTTCCTCAGATGAGGTCATCTGGGGCTTTTTCCACTTCTTCCGCTCCTTGGCGTCCAGGGTCAAAGAGGGCTCTTCGGGTGAAGCAGCAGGTTCCCGATCCGGAGAGTTCTGTGACATTCCCTGCAAGTTGGAGGTACCTTACAGGAAACCCAAGAGACATCCAGCCTACCAGAACGTTCCTACTGCCTACGAAGGCTGGATTTTTGTAGAAGATGCCAAATACTGTATGTATTTTTACCCTGAGTCAAAGGTTCTTCCACAGCACTCATTACATTTTATTTGCCTCTATATTGTTGGCATTAAAGTGGATTTTGCCCTAATGACAAATGGCATTTTGAAAAACCCAATGGCTACAAAAGAAACGGGACTGTTTTATACAGGACTGTGCAAATGTCTTTGGTTGTCAAATAAAATTATGTTTAAATTATATTTATTTTGGTGTAAAATTAGATTTTATGTCTGTCGGAATGTGTCAGCTTAGCTATTGCAAGATCTCTCCTAAACTTACCTCAGTATTTGAAGTAACTATCCGGTATACCCATGTATGTGTTGACTCATACACTAACACACCATGTTTGGCTAGCTAATATCCACCAAAATCTGAGATAAATGTCGAGTTACATTTGGTACATTTGTATTTAACAAATTAATTAATTACATGAGCTAATGGCTAAGAAGCCATCTCTGCTTGTTTAGTCATCGCGTAACAGTGGTATGATCATCCATGGAGTCTTTTTATGCCTTTCTGATCTACTGGTCAGCATCAGTCATCAAGTTCTCTTTCTAATCATTCCTGCTCGGGATCTGAAGGTATTTTAACAATGGCCAAGTTCCGTCAGGGGAGGTGAGTATTTAATGTAAACATACATTAAATACATGTAATGGCTGGGGTAGGTCACACACCCCCATGTGACCCTGAATAGGACGAGCGGTTGCAGAAAATGGAGGGATGAGAGAGATGGCTGGGGTGCCATTGAGGATAAAATTTGGAACCATCATTAATCATTATTCTTTTAGGAATCCGTCAAGATATCAGTAACTTGTTAGAGTTCAGACATTCTTGTTATTGTTTATTGTGTTGTTGTATATTTGTATATAGTCAAATATTATAGTGTTTTTATGAATCAATGTACACTTACTGGTCAGACAAACAGCTTTTGTACAATCCTGTAGTATGAATCTATAGGTAAGTGAGTCCTTGTCATGACTGTCACAGTCACTGTCACTGCAGTGAAACCCGGCCCTCACACAGGACACGGGCTCCCTGGCCTCCGCCAACGTTGCCGCACCTGTTGCGCCTTCCTGATGCGCTCCAGCTCCAGCTGATACTGCTCCTCCTTCTCGGCAGCCTCCGCCATGGTCGCCTGGTTCTGCTCCTCGTAGGCCATGGCCACCACGGCCAGGATCAGGTTCACCAGGTAGAAGGAACCGAGGAAGATCACCACCACGAAGAAGATCATGTATGTCTTCCCCGCTGCCCGGAGCGTCTGACAGATACAGACGGAGATGGTCAGGTCACACTTTCTGATGCATGTTTTATGTTTTATTTTCACATTTTACATTTATGAGAAGCTTTTATACAAGTGAGGATCCGAAAGCTGGGTCAGTGAGGCTGCTTCCCGGAGCGACCAAACAGTACATTTCCAAAGTGAACTCAGCCTGTTTTATGTTGTTTATCACATGAGATCACCATCAAGCTTCCTCATGACATATTACAGTGTATGCAGAAATTTTCTCGAAAACATATCCCGTGGATTGAGTGAGAAATTTGGAAATTTGCTCTCTGATTAGGGTTAAGGGTCTTGTTCAAGGGACTATCAGTGATGTAATTACTCTGCCAACCACAGGATTGGAACCCACAGCCTTCTGGACACAGACACAGATCTGTGACCCGCTGAGCTACACACTGCCCCAACCTAAACACTTTCAAGTATATCAGAAGGTGTGTTTATGTCAGTAATGGTTCAAAATAGTACAGCAGGTGGTAAAGCCAGCTGGCCAATTGGTTTTACCTGCTGATACAGGTTTTCCCAGAAGTCTTGGGTCATGAGCCGGAACAGCGAGAGGAAGGCCCACCCAAAAGAGTCGAAACTGGTGTATCCGTAATTAGGGTTCCTTCCCGCCTTCAAGCAGACGAACCCGTCGGGACACTTCCTGCAGAGCGGACAAGACGAAGCAGTCACACATCCAAGCACTGCTGTCTCGTGCTGCTGAGCAGACAATGGAGTAGAATAACAAGCTGATATTGTAACATGTGATGTGCTGTGTAAAGAGACACGATGATTAAAGCTGGGGCTCCAAGTGTTTCAATACGGGAGAGAACAAGCAGAGAGAGCAGTCTCTCTCTGGGCTGCTCGCTATATGCTGTTTCACGCAAAAATAGTTGAGTTACAGTAAGGCTATGCTTTTGTTTGAGGTCAGATATGATAGTAAGTTCACAGACCAACCAGAAACCCCTCTGTTCTGAACTATTCTGCTGGCTAACAGAGCTTTCTAAATCTCTACATATTACCCTAGATAAATTTGACTTCAAGCAAATACTATAATTTTATTTTTTTAACATTATCAGCTAAGGGTTAATTCACGGCTTGGAATAGTTTACACTGTTTACACCACATTTACTACACATTTGGCTTACACAATTAAACATAAATACATAATTTTCAAGTTTACATGCTGAAAACTGATTTATTAGTAGAACTACTTCTGTCAATGATTTAATATTGTTATACTTTCTGTCATTTTAAAATGGGTTCCATGCCCGGACTTTTAAGGAAAGTTAGTTATAATTAAAGATTAATTATATGATTTGCCAAGCTAATGTGTGGCTATAGAAAATTTATCAACCCTTCTGACCAATCAGTTTGGAGCATTCGACAGTACCGTGGTATAAAGCAAGTTAATGTGGGTCAAGGGGAACCAAGTCTGGCACTAACATTGATTACAAGGCGTCAGTATTCGGGGGGGGGGGGATCAACCAGTGTCTGCCAGTGTCACAAACTTACAGAGTTTCTGGGACGCAATCAAAATAAAAACAGCGGGGAACAGTGGCGTAAGACAGCCGGACTGCGCTCAGCATTTTTCCCAAGCGTCAAAGAAAAGCAAGATGCATGGCAAGAATGATGCCAGTGGACCAGACATCATCTCGCAAAGGAACACGTCAGCGGACATGCCAATCTATAACAGGCAGCCCCAACGCCTCGGTGCTGCTCGATTGGGCATGTGCCGGGGGAAGGGGGGGACATGGGGGCTGGGGGGGGCACTATGTGTCTGGTGATGGGTGCTGTCAGCCCCGACAGCTCGCCGTGTCCACAGGAGACGTGCTAATCAACAGGCTCTCTTCCGTACAGTTTCTGTCGTGGGGCTGAGGAGGTGATGTCATCGCATTTCTGCACCATGCATGTGTATTTACTGTTACTCTTGTATGACCCTCATGCAATAAGCAAAGTAAAGGCACCACATAATACGATTAGATAGATAGATAGATAGATAGATAGATAGATAGATAGAGATAGATAGATAGACAGACTATAGATAGAGATAGACAGACTATAGATAGATAGATAGATAGATAGATAGATAGATAGATAGATAGATACTTTATTAATCCCAAATAAACTGTATAGAGCACACCGCAACAATCATCCGACATTCCGAACTTCTAGAATTATGGTCTTCAGAAATATGAAATCACCAACTGCAAAAACATTAGTATTTTATCAATGTGATAAATAATAAATTCTTTAATTGCCATTTGAAAATGTACGAGGACAGGTACATTGGAATGCTTCCTCTTTGCCTGCCCCAGATACACATGGAGATACACAACAGTGGCACTGTGTGAAAAAAAACACTTAGAACCCACAACGGAGGACCCGAACCAAACAGAGATATTCACCGTACCAGAACATGTATGTTCACGTATCAATCAAGTGTTATACTTACTTAATAACATACCGTCCTATTGGTATGCATTTACTGAACCATATGCATTAATGAAGCACTACTGTAGTATTGAGAGTTCTACATACTATCAGCTCATTGTGAAGAATCTTACTATTTTCATCACCACTCATTTCATCTCCTATTGAGAAGTAACTCCTTGAGTCCTTTAACATGTTTTTCGTTTTTGTGAAGGACTAGTGTACTAGTAGACGGACGAGCATTGCTGTGTTTTCATTCAGAAATCAGCCTGTCGCAGGTACAGATGCAGTGCTAGAACATCCTGCACAGCTCCCCCAGCACCCACCCTGGGCTTCTAAATATACATTTAAATTTATAAGCCCAGGAGTGTCCAATGCTGTCTCACAGAAACAACCTCTCTGACTGGCTGAGCTGTTTTACCTTCCTATACACAGAAGGACAGAAGTCCATGCTAACATGTGACACAGCTAAGTTAAAAGCATTAAATGAGCATTAAATGCATTTCAATGTCTCTGACAGCTTCAGGATGAGGAGACGGGGCTCTTACAAGTGCCTCAAGAAACTTCAGGGATGGAACGGGGCTGCAGAAGAAGGGCGGCCCACCAAACTCACGTCTGGTACTTTGGGGAAGCATCAGAGGAACCAACTTCATTTAGCAGTATGGCAGCTGATATCATAATGGGCCACATGTTCAAGATGGGGGCATTCAGAGGCTATTTTAGAAGTTGGCGTCCCCCCCAAGGCCAGGAGCAAACAGTTTCAGAGCCAGGTTAGGCGCCCCCACCACCAGAAAGCCAACACAGTCCCCTTTGTTGTTTTTGATTAGCTGTCCGTTCACGAATGCGAGCTATGTCATAAGGCAGGATTGTTAAGCACCGCGGATGGGCAGTATCCAGTGTACCAACTTCCGCTGGATGTCAGCCACAGACCTTTGAGGAGGCTCAAATTGCACACGGTTCCGATACCGATCAGACTGTGAAACTGAAGACGCACTGTAAAATAAACTGCCTCTAATTAAGCTACCAGTCACTCGCGGTAGCACCTTATTTGGAAGCCCGGAAAAACACAAAGGCGTGAAAAGTCATGCCAGCCTCTTTTTTTTTTCATATGACAATACCTTAATTGTATACAGAAAAGGACAAAGGTGTCCATAACCCCTTAGAGTCACACTTCTGCACTTATTCGTGCAACCCCAGTCCATAGAAGGGGCGAGGCTGATGGATTCACTTAGATTCAGCATGCAAGCAATTGTGCACAAGTCCCCAGGGGACTGGGCAGTATGTGGCCCTGATGGTTAGGGCTAGGTACCCATGATCAGAAGGTCACCAGGTCACATTCCATTGAGCCCCTGACCAAGGCCCTTAACCCCAATTGCTCCAGGGACTGGCTGACCCTTCTCTCTCAATTTGTACGTTGCTTTGGATGAAAGTGTCTGCTAGATAAATAAATGTAAATGTAACGGTAGCAGAATCCTGAAAGGCACATTAGGCTGGGTTACCTTTAAGGGTGTTGTGATGGGAGTGCACCAGGCCGGCGTCCAGACTCAATATTAAAATGGTGAAACCCAGTCTGAGATGATTAGGGGGTGCATGTTTTAATGAAAGCTACAATAATAGGGAACCAGCAGGCTGTGGTCACGGCCCTTCGCTCCAGTGACCCGTTCCCCCAGCTCGGGTTCAGGGGCTTGCCATATCAAGGACCTACCTGCTGGAGGGCCGCACCTCTACAGTGCAGGCAACGCATTGGGATAATTAATTAACAGCGCATTAATCAAGTCCAAAAAACTACTAACATGATCACTCAAGGAAAAGAAATGGCATCAATGTGTAAGTGATAATTCTCTCTGATTAGATGGATGGATGGATGGATGGATGGAATATTTTAGGAATTCCAAATTTAAATATGTAGATATATATATATAAAGAGATACAGAGACAGAGTGGCATGCAGACAGATGATTAGATAGATAGACAGATAGATAGATAGATAGATAGATAGATAGATAGATAGATAGATAGATAGATAGATAGATAGTACAAACAGGACACCCTAAAAACATTTAAACATTGACGAAAACATGGAGCTATAGTAAGTGTGACGTGCTACTGTTGAACTTGTGAACGGCTCCGCGTGTTTGTTTTCCTGTGTGAAAAGAGCATGGCAGCTTAGTCATGGTACGGAAACACCGACGACATCCCACCACAAACAGGAAATGGAACAACAAAGTGCGAATGAGTTAATGCTACGTGGAGAGCTACTACAAAAGAAATATCACTATGAGGATAAAGCTACTTAAAGTTTCTATAGCAACAGTGTCTAGGAGGCTGTTGCCCAGGGAGATTGTTTCTTGTTACATCTCTCGGGTGCTTTTTTGCCCCTATAGTAACATTTCAGACAGGCCATGTAACATTTCCAAAAGGGCAGATAATAAAATTGTACTTTAATAATGAATATGTTGTGGTATTATATTTAACTTCTTTGGTGTTTAATTCTTGTGGTGTTGTACTTAAGAATAAAACATCGTAATACAGAATACAAGACATTCTTTAATAATGTGAATCATGACAAACCTGGGGAAGTTTTAAAGTTCACAAATGCATATAGTTCATGTTTAAACTTTAATGCTGTAATGTTTGAGATAATTACACCTCTTACATCGTAATCCCAGATTAGGTGTTTAAGGTGAGAATTACATTTATTTGTGTTTTTTTTTCATTATCAGTAACATAACAGATAGTGCTTAGTAGTGTAATTATGATAACATGGAAAAATACATAATTAAAAATGAAATACATAATTTGCTACATAATTCTCTGATGTTTTTTCTTGTGATGGTGATAGTGGCTCCATTCACTTCTTTGGGGACTCATGAAATGCTTCCAGGAAACACGAATGATTCCCTATGTGACTGTATCACATTAATTTTTCTGTCTGTGAGAATCGCTCCTTTGAAGAAGATACACGGTAAAACTTCTCCTAAAATGTACGACGTTCAGTGCTGGGACTCAGAGATGCCCTCCCGAGTAGCCATGAACTCTTTATCATTATATTGTACAAAGAAGAATAAATAAAGAATGAAGCACAATGAAAAATTGTTTAGAGTATATAGACACAGTTACTTTTAGCTTGTCTGCCCCTCAGAGAGAAAAAAATCAACAGTATTTCAAAAGGCGTAAAATGGATTACGGTACTAAATGAACTGAAATAGAGTGAACAAGTTTGTTAAAGGT